GGGGGGGGGGCACTAAGCCATGGCACAGAAGTATAGGAGTTGATCTGGGGCTTTTGGCTTGCCCCGGGGCCTGCCCACAAATTGTCCCCCCCAGACACATGAGGAGGCACCGGTCACCCCTGGCTGATAGGCAACTAATGCTGCTTCTGGAATTCTCATTTAGAAAAATACTGGGTTGGAGTGATCCACACAGTCTGCTTTGTTATAGCACTGTTTGGATTGACTTTCTGATTTTATTGGTCATGAGGATTTTTGTTTTACACGTGATGTTTTACTTGTTCAAGCTGACAGTCATTAAATGCAAATCCATTTCCTTTGGGAGCAGCATAAGAAGTGCCATTTTGGCTCTAGAAGCCAGCTTGTAATGTTATTTTCGTAGTATTTTTTTTTTAAAGTGTCTTGCATATCACTTACATATTTCTTCTCAAATGCCATTAATTTGCATGCTCGCTTTGAAATTTGTAAAACTATAGATAGTTGCCATTTCCAGAGATGGAAATATTACTACAGTTCATTGTTGTCAGTAGCTATTGTGTGCACTCAGGATGTCCTGGGGAAAGAGTGTGTACATGTTTAAAGTTGATGTGAAGTACATCAGCATTCCATTAGTAAGACACAAAGAAAGCAGTCTACCTCCAGCTGGCAATAGGGATTTAGGGACATTTTTATTAGGAGTGTGGCAGGAATCCCGAAACTTTTGATCATATAATTTAAAAAAAAATTTAACCTCACATAATGTAATGGAATATGAAAAGGAACGATTTCTCCAGCATATGAAGTGAAGGCCTAATAAGACTGATCAACAGTCTTCCTGGAACAGGAAAGCTGATTAAGGCGAACAGCTTTTCTTTAGGGTGAGGTTACATGTTAAATGTCTGTCTTGTAGAGTGTGAGAAGAACTTCTCTGAACATATTTTGACTAATGGATATACTAGATATTTTCATGGTAAGTGTTCTGAATACAATTTAGTTATTGTGTATTATGACTTTTCAAATTCTGAATTTTATGCCTGTAAGATGATTAGTAATCAATAAATCCCTTAGCTAAATGTGCATTAGGCTTGGATTTATTCTCTCAACTACTTTTTTAATTGAATAGTTTTTAAAATATGAAGTTAACTTACAAATAGGCTCTCAAATGTTGTAATCCAGTATGCAACATGGCATGTTTGCTCCATAGAATTTTATAGTGCCCATTTTATTTCCTTTAGTAGTACCAGTGGCACTATTTTCACGGTAATACAAGAAGGAAGGAGAGAAGGAAAAAGACTTGAACTGACTTGAATAGTGACTAGTGTAGTTGATGATATTTGTATGGCTGTTACTAAAAATGTTTAGTTTATTGAAGGATGTTCTAAACAAGCCACAATTTCTGTACAGTAGATTACTGCATAATACCAGTACTTGTTTTCTTTTGTTTTTTTAAAGGAAAATATATAGCATAGTGTGTAAATGTATAAGGAAAGTGGATTGGATTTAATTTATCTGATTTACTGGTGAAAACTTTTCCTTTCACAAAGGAAGGGAAATAGAATACCTGATTGCTGGACTTTCTTTTTGTTTTTAGTTGCCCATTAGTGTTTAGACACCTGGCAGGAAGTTTTGATGCTTTTTAAGATCACAGCCTCAACTACATCAACTCATTAGGAAAACTGCTGTATGTGGACTAAAATTTACACATCTCTTGATTTGTATTACTAATTCTAGTAGTACATAAAGTGTGTTTTTTGGGGATTTTTGTTTTTATTTAAAGCACAATGTGCAATGCATTTTTTATTAATTATTAATCTAGCATTGCTAGTGTTGCAAAACTAATTGATAAGGAAAGTACTAATTGTATTTTTGTCCTTATCAGCTCTTGAGAATAGTTGGTAACTGGTACAATGTTTCTGTAGGATCTGGGGGGATTGACATTTTACAAAGCTCCAATAGTAAACCTTTCTGAACAGATAGTGATCTAAAAGTCCAGTGCCTCACAAAGAAGTAATTAGGACTGTCCATCCCAAAAACCACCAGCCATATTCAGTGGAGGATATTTTGTGGGGACAGTTAGAAAGAAAACTACTCCAACCTCCTTGTTGAGGGTTTAAGTTGGGAACAGATCAAAAGTAACCTTGTATGTCTGTCTGTTTTGTTTTGTACCTCCCACTCCTCTCCCCATATCCTTCTGCTTCTACTTTGTTGAGGATTACTGCTGTGAGTGGAAAGGTTTTTTTCCAACAGCTATATTAACCCAAGCTAACAACACTCAGTTACTAATCCACCCTCAATCGTGTGTGTTTATAGTAGCACCTAGAGGCCTCCATCATAACTGGGTGCTCCAGTATCAGGGCTTTGTTACTGCCTGCCACTTGAATTGAAATAGGCCTCCCTTTCCTATTTTGTGGGGAGATTTTTCTCCCACCTTGACAGACAGTGTAAGTGTCGCTACTAAGCATGGTCATCAGGGTGCAGGCCTAATAGTCATGGAAGCGTTCTGCCATAGATATAGATTAGGATATTTATCTGCTCATTTGCATGCATCAAAGGAGGATTCCTATATTCAGATATAAAATGGCAAATGGAGTCCATTTTATTGGGGTAAATTTGTTTTTAGATTCTTTTGACCATCCTGGAAAATACAAAAATGTGGCTTGCACCATTGTTTAAACTTCTACACACTATACTTGCGAACTATGTGTTGCCCACCTGTGAGACAACTGAATCTCTTCTGTGTATAGTAGTCACCCTCCTCACCTTCCCTTACCTCAAAACTCCCACACACATTTTAACTGCAAGCAAGAAGATATCAAATGAGAGGTGTTAATTTATATCAGTATGAGAAGCATCTTGCTTAGTATACTCCATGTGGTTGCCTTCAACCTGAATTATTTTTAGTTTTGCTACTAACAACTTTTATAAACAATTCTTAAAGTACAGTTCCAAATACAATTACCTCTCTCTACAGACATGTTACTCTCAGGCCTCTCTAGGCTTTGTAAGTATATTGGATTTTCTTTCCTTATTTGGATTCTGTTTGTTTCCAAAGCTGTGAACTTTAAAGAAGTTAATGAAGAAAACAAGAGAGAGCTATTTGGTGAAATATTTTCATCCATTGACACATTGGCATTTACCTTTGGCAACATGTAAGTAAACACAGGTTGATTTGAAAGGAATTTTAAAGAGATAAAGAAAACTAACACAAAGGAGACTACTAAATGGCAAATTTAGGGGGAGGGGTGTTGGTTTTGGGGTTTTGTTTTTTTTAACAGTCTGGTTGATCTGTGAACTTAAGTAAAATGCACCTTAAACAAGTTTGTTGTTTTTTTTAGGTTTTGCTTTTTTTGTGGTTTGTATTTAAAAAGAAAAAAAATGATAGCCTGCAAGTAGTAAAGAAAAATTGATTTATGGTAGAACCTATTGTTATACAAGCTTGTAAAAAGATGGATCTGTACTAAGGATACTATGTGTCATTTTAAGTGACATAAAGTTATTTCCTAAGTAACTATGTAATGAAGCAAGTTTTTTCACTTCTGTTTCTATGGCAGTGTTTCAGACTTCCTTATGGGAGATGTAGACAATGGTTCGTCATTGGGACTTCCTGTATCTCGGAGAAGTCGGGTAGGCTGAATACATTCATTTGGGGAGTAGAGAATAAGTTTTAAAATGACAGTGTCAGAGCTTTTTCATCTTTCATGGAATGTCTTTTGTTTGGATTAACTGACTTAGAGTTTACCAAAACTGTAGACACCTTCTAAAATGACACTTGACATTTTTAGTATTACTACAGCTTTCCAACAGAAAATAATTTTATATTTTAAAAAAAAGTGCCAATGTTCAAATATTAAAGAAAATGTAGTTTGTTTAGATTATTATTACAGGTATAAAGTAAGCTTAAATAAAAGAGTAAACACATTGTGTGTGCTTCTAGTAAAGCATTCATTTTTTAAAAATCATGCTAGTATATTTAAAAGTAGGTATTTCAGGCGTCGAACCAGAGTTGACATTTAAGTACCTTTTTAAAGATACTTAAAATAGTAGCATGTAAACCAGAAAAGTTCTCTGAATTACTTGAACCTCTAGTTCTTCCAAGATTATTTTTGGCTTGGCTGTTTTAACAGGATTTAACTAAAAGAAGTAGAAATAATGGTGTCAGCTGGTAATCAGTATAGCAGAGCTAAAAATGTGTAAATTACCCTTTATATTGTCCTGAAAATGGATGGAAGTATTTTAAAGAGTTTTTGTTTTAAAAAAAAAAAAAAGCAACATAAGAAATGCTGTTTTAAAAGTGTTTTGAATATCCAGGTATATGGAAAAGGTTATTAGAAACAGTCAACATGGATTCACCAAGGGCAAGCCATGCCTAACCAACTAATTGCCTTCTATAATATGGTGACTGACTTTGTGAATGCAAGGAGAGCCATGTATGTGATATACCTTGACCTTAGCAAAGCTTTCAATATGGTTGCCCACAACATTCTTGCAAGCAAACTGAGGAAGTACAGGTTGGATGAATTAAACTGTAAGATGGGTAGAAAACTGGCTGGATCATTGGGCTCAGAGGGTAGTAATTAATGGCTCAATGTCTAGTTGGCAGCTCGTATCAAGTGGAGTGCACCAGGGGTCAGTCCTGAGGCTGGTTTAGTCTAATATCTTCAATGACCTAGAAGATGGGATGGAGTGCACCCCAGCAAGTTCACAGATGATACCAAGCTGGATGGAGTAGTAGATATGCTTGACAAATTGGAGGATTGGACCAAAAGAAATCTCATGAGGTTCAAAAAGGACAAGTGCAGAGTCGTGCACTTAGGACAGAACAGTCCCATGCACTAGGACAGGCTGGGTACCAAATGACTAAGCAGCAGCTCTTCAGAAAAGGACTAGGGAGTTACAATAGACGGTAAGCAAAATATGAGCCAACAGTGTGCCCTTGTTGCAAAGAAGGCTAATGGCATACTGGGCTGCATTAATAGGAACGTTGCCAACAGTTTGAGGGAAGTGATTCTTTCTCTCTGGCACTCAAGTTGCATTTGGAGTACTGTGTCCAGTTTTGGGCCCCCCATTACAAAAGGATATGGACAAATTGGAGAGAGGCCAGTGAAAATGGTTAGGGGACTAGGGCACATGACTTCTAAGGAGAGACTGAGGAAACTGGTCTGGAGAAGAGAAGACTGTGAGAGGTGATTTGATAGCAGCCTCTAACTACCTGAAGGGTAGTTACAAAGAGGATGGAGGTAGACCAGTGGTATTTAACCCATGGTCTGCAGACTCCTGGGGTTCCACAGACTGTCAATGAGGCCTGTGAAAGATGCCTATGATTAATCAAAAGTATGTGAATAACCCACACTTATAATTTAAAGGGGTCCACGCATCTATTTAATATTTTTTTTTAGGAGTCTGCAAATGAAAAAGGGTTGAAGACAACTGAGCTAGACTGTCAGTGGTGACAGATGACAGAACAAGGAGCAGTGGTCTCAAATTGCAGCAAGGGGAAATTTAAGTTAGATATTAGGAGAAACTTTCTCACAAGTAGGGTAGTAAAGCACTGGAACAGGCTACCCAGAGTGGTTGTGGAGCCTCTATCTTTGTAGGTTTTTTTACAAACTGGGTAGACAGAGCCTTGAGTAGGATGATATAGTTGGGCATGGTCCTGCTTTGAGCAGGGAGTTGGACTAGATGGCCTCCTGAGGTCCCTAATTTTCTATGATTCTATGAACTTTCCTGTAATGCAAGCCTAGTATATATCACATGTAACACAATCAGTGAATATATTGAGACAAACTGTTATAGCCTTAAAAATGAAGGGTGAAATTCAAATTAGAGTATATTTTTTAGGTGTTGTCTATTTAAAAAAAAACAACAAACCTGTCAATTGCAGTTGCCTGGTATTATCATGGCCAATTCTGAGTTCAAAGTTTTCTTTTTGTGTGTACTTCTAAAATATATTTTTATAGCTCTAGAAAACTATGCTGATAGCAAGGGAGTAACTCGGGGCTTATCCATTTGGGGGAAAGCGTGTGTTGATAGTGGTCAGTTAATGTCAAGAGCCCCAATATAGATAAGTTGCTGTCAATTGATACCATTTGAGCATTGTACCATTCAGACTTGATCCCAATGGTTAGAGGAGCCTGCTGGTATGCCATGTGCATTGAAGGGCTTCCAAAGTTGCCAATACTGGTTCACTTGAAAGATCTCTGCAAGAGTGGGGAGCTTTAAAAACACACCTATGGAAACCAGGCCTTCAGGAAGTATGCTTTAATCCACAGTCCTGACATGGTTCTCTTGCTAGCTATTTATTAGGCATTTTCTTGTCCATGCAGGTTAAGAGGTGTTTTCTTAACATATTTTGCTTACAGTCTCGTTACACAATGAAAGAGACTGATTAAGTTAATTACACAAATGTTTTGGTGGTGCAGAGGGGGTTGTGAGAGGAATTGATTGGCAGAGAAATTTAGAAATACTTCAGCAACTAAACTTCTCCTGACTTAAAATACGGTAATGAACAAAGATGCCTGGAGTTTCCATTTACCAGTTGGAAGGACATTCAGAGATAACATTAAATAATGTTTTTGTAAAGGTGTTAATCAAACCGATGCCACCATAACCATCAATACCAAAATAGAAACTATCCAGGGTTAATTTTAAGTTCTGTGTGTTAAGAAAATAAATTTGTAAAAAGATCAGAACAAAATTATGATGTACTAAAATCAATCCACTTGATAGAACTTTATTTTCAAGCTCTTGTTCCACAAACTATGGGAACTAATTAAATTCTAGAAGTATTTGCATTATTATTATAGCACTTCAGTTATTTGGATTAGCATCTCAAATGAGTTTCACTTTTAGGGTTTTTCTGATCATCGTAAAGAGAAAATCACTGTGAAACTTAAACCAAGTATTCCTGGTTTGTGTGGCTTATAACAAAATACAAATGTTTAAAGGTGAGTTCTAGAGAGAAAAAGCAACCTCTTGAGAGAGTTACTTTGGACAAGTTCTCAAGGAAAGGGAGATGTGCATAAGAATAGCATGAGATGCACAAGCAAGCTTGCAAACAGTGTATTAGCTATGTTACTAAAATTATCTGACACTTCAGTGGATCTACTCAGAACAAACTCCACAATGGAAATAGTGAATAAAAAGTGTGAAAATTGCATGCAGTTCTTTTAAATCAACTTGTAAGATAAAAATGGGATTTTTATAGAACAAATAGAAATGGGGCATTAGCAGATGAGGATTCGTGCGATCCTCCAGAATTTGACTTGGGAGACAAAAATGCAGAATTTGTTTAAATGAAGTGAAAGAGCAAGCCTCTAAATGTTAGGGCAAGTGGAAAGCCAAGGAGGAAGTTGGACTAAAACGCACTGAAGAAACTTTATGTTAATTATCCCATAAGGCTCACCATGTCATATTTCATGACCTGTTTTTAGTCCTGATGCTTTTCTTGAGGGGAGAGGATTAGAATCAGTTCTGGAGCAATTTAGAAGACCTGGGAAAGCTCACATATTAGACATCTGCCCTAAATTATTGCACCATTATTAAGCACATATACTTCCAAACAACTGCATGGGTACACATTTTAACAGTATATTTTGTCTCAGTCTAATACAAAGAACAGAGTTGGAGGCATATTGCAGTTAGTGGTTAGACTAAACACTTGACTAGACATCAACTGGTCAGTCCTATGTGAATGTTTACATGCTGTGGCTAAAAATAATAATATGTAACTATAGTTTAAAAAAATGCAAAGCTAAAGGAGATTTTTTTTGCTTGTTTCCAAATACACGAAGTAAATAAGCACTTTTTGTACAGAAAGTTTTTTGCATTTTTTCTTATAAAACCACAATTTTAAGTAAGCAGAACTTAAGGGGGGAGCTAGCTAAAGCACCTTTCAAAATGAAAAATATGGTTTTAAAATTTATATCAGAACTGATGAGTTGTATCTTTTATGCCTCTGAGCAAGCCTTTCAAAGAGGGAAACCTATGCATATTTGAGTACATGGCAAAGGGGGGGGAAGTTCTTTTCACCCATTTCAATTATCTTAAGCTTAAAAGAAAATGTCTTTGCTGGGAATGAAGTGATGGGGGAAGGAGAGTTATTTTAACAACAAGTTGAGAATTGAAATCTACCAAGGAAGATCAGTGAGGTTCTATCTCTGGGATTATAGAGAAACAGACAGCTGAGGATCTGAACCTAAATGACTTGTGTGATGTCTGTTTGCTTTGCTACTTTTTAATTTATTCCTGAATGATCTAAAACGTGACAATAGGGAATCAATTCCATGCACCCACAGTATCTATGATTGTATCCCTGTCTTGCTTTATGCAGATGATGTGATAGGCAGATAGGTGTCCAAGGGTTATTAGATGCTTTTCATCAATGCTGTGTCTCAAATAGCTTGGAAATCAATGCTCCTAAATGCAAGCTATTGCCTTTTGGGAATGAAAGGAAGAAACAAGTATAGTTTTTGTGAAAAAAAGAAATTAGAGATGGTGTCCTCATTCAGAAACCTCAGAATTTATTTTACTGAAAGTCTGAGCTAGAATAAATGCATTGAAAATGTAAGCATTAAAGCAAAACCGGCCTCAGATGATGTTATATCCCTTTACAATATGACTGGTAGAGAAGAAATACTAGCAGCACTAAGGGTCTATAGATTTTGAGTCCATTTTATGGCATAGACCAGAACTATGGTGTGTGGACCCCATGGTTCATTCCAAAATAGAATACATTTCAAATAACTTTTATGGTGGCTTTTATCTCTGCCAAATTCTGCAGTGGGTGGAATTATGTGATCTGAAATAGAGCTGTTTAATGAGTTCTGTAACTCAGTTAAAAACTCTAAATTATTGGATAAAAGTTATAGCTTGTACCTCTATCAGATACCCCAAGAAGTGTATTTTAGAAGCCTCTTTTCCAAATAAATCCTTATGTGGATGGTTAAATAACATTTATACTCTCTTCCAGATGAATCTTCTGAGAATGTGCTGACAGTTATTGCCTCAGTATTCCCTCCATATTTAAAGCAAGATACAGATTTTAGAATTAAAGTAGCCAGCATGTGGACAGATATCCAGGCAGTGAGATTTTCTCAACCTTCTTTTTTGAGATCTGTAGGGTGCTTTTTTGCCTAGATAGTTCCCTTTCTGAAATACAAAGCCACATCTACAACGAGAAGCCATTACAAGACTGCAGTTCACTCTAATGAGATCTGTAGACGTCATGGGCAGGTGGTTATATTTGGATAGGACATGTTCTTGTGGGAAGAGTGAGATAGATGATTTAACTCAATGTTTGTGGTCTTCATCATTCTTTGATGAAATAAGATGGAAATAGAGGTCTCCATTAATGGAAAATTTTAATTACTGGGCTAATGAAGAAAAGACAAGTTGGCTTCTCTTTAACAACTTGTAGCCTGTCCTATACTATGTAGGAATTTTTGCGCTAGTGGCACAAATAAGGGCCAAAATCAACTAGAATTGCCTATTTCACTTTTTTCACTCTACTATTTTATATTGCTTAACTTTATTTTTTTCCATCATATATTATGTTTGATTTTGCTTTTGTTAAAATTAGTAGAATGTGTAATTTTATTGTATGCTTTTACCAATAAACACACATTGTGTAACTTTATTATCATATAGTATATACTTTGATTGTTAATTTTATTGCAGTTTTAGTGAAAGCTGTCAGTAAGTTAGTACTACAACTATTAAATGACTTTTATCCTAAAGATCCATATCAGATGTTTACTTCTGTAAGCTTAAGCACTTGATTAATGCAGGGTATCCATTTTTCTTTCTTCTTTTTTTCTTCCCTCTCCCCTTTTTTATTCATCCTTAGAGGCTTACAAGTTATGTAAAGCCCTCTGCCATACCAGAGTCAGAAGCTTAGATATGTCTCAGGTGTGAGTAGAACCCAAATCACTAATCCATATTGATCTAAAACTATGCTTGTTTGATGTTTTGCTAGTTTGACAAGACAACTTTGAATTTCTTTTGTTGCATTGCAAATCTATATCTCCAACCAGAACATCTAATTAAATGTGTGGTGATTTGACTTTCATATGAGAAGTGGGGGTTCTCTAGCCTTTGGCAATGATTTGATGATTGCCCGGATCTTTTGAAATTTTCTCTGTGTGACTGATGATACATATCTTTATTTTGGGAAGGGAGGAGTTGGATATTGAGCTGCTAGCATGTTGCTCAAGGAAGTGGTGCAGAAAAGCTACATGTATACTATTTTTAACCTTAGGTTTGTTTCCAATACTAATTCTATCCCAGCTGGTTTGATTTTTTACATCTGTTCCCATAAACATTACAAATAAATTGCAGTTATTTTTAGCTTTCCTGTATTTTGCCAAATATATTTAGTCTATTTGGGTAGAGAGCTTAAAAGATGGGGTTTTAGTGAAGTATTGGGGGGAAATCTCCTGTGAAGCATCAGGGGAACTGTCCAGGTAGAAAATAACTTATTTTATAAATGGTGATCAGTAACTATAGATTTGGATGAAATTCTTATAAGTTCCCTTGTTTTACCAAGGATTGTTTCTCTCTGTCCTTGTTAGTAGCAATGAGCATCTGTGAGAAGTTAATTGTAGCTCTGTTTCTTTCCTGACTTGTATCCAGAATGCCACTGAATTGCTGAAAGGCATGTGTGTATTTGACATTAAGCCTGCATAAAGTGCTTAACTCTTTCTAATAGAGGGGTAGAAAAAGTGGTGGATTCAGTGAATGTCAACTGCTTTGTTAAATAATTAACTCATTCATCAGAACCATTTGAAAAACTGTTGCTCAAAAATGTTTGAAGACTTACAAAGATTCCCTGGTATTTAAACTGTCTTTGTATCTGAATCCACTGGGACTTAAAGAGTTGCTCCAGGTTCTTAGACATGAATGGATTCTAACCCTGTCTCCTGCTTTTGTCAGTGATAAATTATGACACAAAGGGCAGGTAGCTCATGTTTTGTTAGTTTGCTTTCAGTCCTAGATGTAGCTAGTCTAACCCTGATTTTACTTTTGTTACATGTAAGTCTTTTGAAAACCTTTCTGTGGAATCTGTGGGATCACTGCATGAACGGGATGATATTCAAGGTACAGGTAACTTTTCACATTAACAAGCATCTTTCTTAATTTTTTTTAATGTATGCCTACTAGCTTGCATTATTCTTATACTTTAAACTTATTTCTAAAATCCTTGCATCCATTTTTTTACATATGCAGACTATCATTATAACTAAATTAATGTAAACAACTTACATTTCAACAGGCTCAATATTTGTGATGATAACCAAAATTATGTATCCTTCTGGAGACAAGAGATCAATGCTGAGCCAGATTTGTATGCAGCTGGGGAACTAGACTTCTGTTGGGTCACTTTTTTAAAGAAAGTTTTTATACTGACCACATGACTAATAAAGATAAAACACTGTGACCCTTTAATATGTTCTAAAATCCCTGCCAGTTCTATTTAGAGTCAACTAGTATTAAAGAACAGCTCAAGATTTGAGCTGCTTCAGTATTTGCAGTTGGCTGATGCTAGATTTACCGTTGGTGTGTGGTCATGTCTAAAATTCACTTCTTTACATTTGACCCTTTGTTTTCAGGACAGCTTCAAGTTGAAGAGCTTGATAGCAAGCTCCTAAGAAATGACAGCGGAATTGAATCAGCTCTGTCTTATGCTAAAGCGTGGTCAAAATATACCAAGGATGTAGTCGTTTGGGTAGAAAAAAAGCTTAGCTTGGGTGAGTGGCTCTTTCTGGTATTTAATCAGCTTTGTCATGATGGAATTAAATCTGTTGTTAGGCCTGTGCTATAGACTGTCAATAATGTAATTTCTAAATGAGTAGCTGTTCCACTCAAGTGGCTAGAGCTGTTGCCCATTTCCTTTAATTAAAGGGCTGTAACAATGAAAATGGTGTACAAAGAGTATAAAATGTCATTTGTCGCTGTTACTCTTTATATACTTCATGTATGGACCTTTTTTTTCCCACAGAAGTAGAATGTGCTAAAAATGTAGCAAAAATGGCTGAGACTGCTAAAACTGTTGTTGGGTCCCAGGTGAGTGACTAATTGATTTTGAATTTGTTTTAAAATGTCTTGAATTTGAATAGCACTCATTGCCATCATAAGTCCCATTTTTAGGCATGACATTCAACTTTTGCATTAATTCGTATAAAGCATGTTACATGATAAATTAACTAAAAATACCCTTGTGTATCTCATTTGGCTCTGGATATTTGAAAAGTGTTGTGTTAGAAGTGAAATCTTTGTGGAATTTACTAACTTCAATAAAAGGTCTTTAGATTGCCTTGCAACATGCTTCTTATTTTTGGGGGGTGCGTTTTTATATGTGTTTTCTTTTTTTCTAATTTTCTTGTGGACGCCTTCCTTTTTTTTGAAGGGTTATTTTAAATTAATCCGTTTGAGAAAATTGCATAACAGTAACCTTCACATTACTACATAACTCATCATAGAGAGAAACTTCATTAAACTTTACACTCTTAAAAAAAAAAAACAAAAAAAAACTAAATCCTAATAGGCTCTAGAATGACTGCATCCCTGTCTTCCTCACTAGAATGTTACCATTTTCCACTGTGTTTAATCCTAGGTTTACATGCCGTTCCAATCAATATTCACAAATGCTTTTCAAAATGATATTGAGAACTGTCAACTTTGGCAACAAACAGCAACTGCTCTGCAGTCTAACAAATTTGTACAGGTAAAAATGGGTCTGACTCATTGTTCAGATTTTTAAAAAGTTATGCCTGTACTGTTTGTAATAAAATAAGGGAAAACATATATTTAGCCTATAAACTTTAATGTACTCTATGAATCTTTCTTATTTAGCCTCTCCTAGGGAGAAAAAATGAGTTGGATAAACAAAGAAGAGAGATTAAGGAGCTGTGGCAGCGAGAACAGAAGAAAATGGTTCGTATTTCTTTGTACCTAACAATATTTTCACATTTTTTCACCATGTAAACTTATGCTTTCAAAAATGAACATCCGAAGTTAAGCCTCCAAATTTATACTGAGTACCCACTCTTCTTACTGACCACAGTTCATAGCTCCTAGGCTCTTAGTACGTGCCAGTTCTTCAGGTGTTTGCTTGTTATGCAATTAAACTCACAAAATGGAGGCTGTTGTAGAGCAGTCCTTTTCCAGTTGCCTACTTGCACTTTTTTTTTACATAAAAAAAAGATTTGTTCTTTGCTTTTCTACTGATATATTATGTAGCAAGAATTGGAAACTACTTTAAGAAAAGCGAAGCTACTCTACATGCAGCGCCAAGATGAGTATGAAAAGGCAAAATCCTCCACTGTTCGTGCTGAGGAAGAACATTTGAGCTATAGTGGAGGTCTTATGAAAGATATTAGCAAACAATTGGAGAAAAAACGAAGGCTCGAAGAGGAGGCTCTTCAAAAAGTAAGTTCTTTGCTTATTCATTAAGGGTTTCATTATGGTGTTTTCTGGTTCTACCACTATCTTGACAATGAGAGATCACTTAGCTGTTTATAATTTTCTTTCCTGCCATGCTTGTATATATAAAAGTAAATTTTCTTTTTTTTCTTCAACAAAAGAATCCCAAGTTACAAGCTTACTGAAGTATTTTTTTTTCTTAGCTTATTTTAGGTACCAAAGTTCTAGAGTCCATCAGTTACCTGTATTTAGCTGTGTTTATTTTCTTTAGGCTGAAGAGGCCAATGAACACTACAAAGCCAGTATGGCAGAAGTTGAAGAAAAGAGAAATGATCTGGAAAGCATCAAAAGTGATATTTTAACACAGCTACGGGGACTTATTTACCAGTGTGATCTTACTCTTAAAGCTGTAAGGATGCCTTTTAAAAAAAAAAAAAAAAAAAAACTTTCTTAGCGGAAAGGAGAAAATCAAGTGTAAATGTTAAGGGCTTATTCAGAATGGGTAAGGCTTGATGTATGCAAAACTAGAAGAAAAGCAGCTTGTTCTCATATGATTGTAGGCATCTCACTGAAAAAGACTACAAGTTCTTAAGGTACAATTATGCTGCCTTCACATACATTATTTGGTTCTACCCATTTTTTTAATACTTTGATCTTTTTTTCCCCTTAAGTTTTCATAAACTTGCAAGAATTCTGTATGTGGGCAGATTTTTATAAAGTTTTATAAACTTTAGTATAAATGCCAGTGATGACAGTTGCAAAGACATGCCCTGGTTTGTTTTGTGTTGCTCGTGAAACGTGCTGCATTGTCTTTATTTGTGCATTAAGAATGACATTTCATAGATTAAGAGTTACAGTATGCAAGCCAATATAACACGGATGTAGTTTTGAGCTCATTAACCTTAGCGACATTCTTGAAGCTATTATGCATTTAGTTTTGACTGACTCGGTATAAAACTTTGTGAGCATGTGTAAACACGCCAAGAGATATAGTATCAGTATTTTAGAAAATATATGAAAAGATCTACTGTCTTGTCTTAGTCTTCTTTTCAGAAGACAGACACAGTTTTTAAGGTTAGAAAAAGCTTAGGCCAACTTGACAATTCAGGTGTATGTTACTAATGACATTAACCACTTTATATAATGCTCCAGATATTTCTAGTTAAGAGGACACATTGTTATGGAAATGGGGGGGAGTGGGGTCCTAATTTAAAAAACACACTGAAAGAGATCAATTGGCAATATATGGTAAAATGGTTGTGCATATATCTGAAGGGTGAGGTGGTATGGGCACACCCCACCTGTGTTGCTATCACAGGTTCCTCCTTTTAGCACCTCCTCTCTGCCTCTCCCTCACCCACAAGTGTCCCCCACTGGCTGGGATCAGGCACTGATAGGAGGAACCTGTGAACTGCTGCTGCTGTCCCTAGCTGATGGAGGCAGGCAACCCAAAAGCCATTAATAACCCACTCCTGCCCTGTGCTGTGGTGAGCAACTGTGTGGGGGAGCCCAGCTCAGCTGAGGACGGCAGTAGTGGGTGGCATGCATGTTCCCAGTCAGCAGGAGACACCTGGAAGGGGAGGGACAGGGAGCAAGGGTGGAAGGAACATATGCACCACTGTCTCTGTCCCCAGCAAAGCCCAGCTTCCCAAACAGCCACTCCCTGCAGTGTGGGGTAGGGGCAGCTCCTGACCCCTTGTCTGCCCCCAGGCCAGCTGGGGACAGTGGCAGCTGGGGGGCAGGTCTTCTCCTTCCTGTGCCTGCTCCCTGGCCATCTCCCCCATGTCCTACACTAACCCAAGCCACACCTTGCGCCTACCCCCTCTCCAGGCTGAAGGATGGTGTGTCGCACTGTTTAGTAAATCCTAATAGTCAAAGACTTTCAAGGTAGCTCAAAAGGACCAAACATCAAATTAACTAATACCAATGTGGAAAGCTTCCAGATTCTAACTATGCCAAACCATTCTCAATAGAAATTCTCAGTTTCTCATCTTGGCATGTTCATTCCAGTTCTCCTCATGTTCTGGTTTAAATGCTGTGATGTTTAGTGCAGTTAGTGAAAGGGTGTAACTGAGCCAATGTCATTTGCCTTTCTAGGCAAAAAACTGTTTATGCAGAATAACCAGTCTAAGTTTTGTTAGAAAAGACCAAATCCAAAAGAGAGCCATGTATTATGTTTCAGTGTGCAGTAAGGATAGCTTTGCTAAATAGCATTTTTAGAGGTAGTTACAATTTTTTTATTCACTACATAGGTAAGTTACACCTTCTGTGGAAAGAGTGTTGAAAAGACGCCACTTGTGATGTACAATATCAGGTGGTGTTAGTCCTACAAAACCTAGGAACTATATTGCATGTACCTTATTTGTTAACTTGCTATTTCTGTATATACTCAAACATATAGACCCAAAACATTTATCCAAAGTCTACTGGAACTGTGCTCTGTGCTTATCGCTTCCCCTGCTTAACAAATTTGGAATGTGCGGAGCTGGCACAGCTCCTTTGCTTCTGAGTCCAGGGGAGGCTGTGGTGACCCCACTTCAGGTTCACATCCTTTGCGTCTTTTGCTGCTCTGCAGGGAGCGTAGTTTCTGGAGTAACAAGAACATGGATCTACAAGGCAGGAAGTCATCACCTGTAGAGTAAGGTAGAAGGCCAGCAGCAACGGTAGCAATTCCAAAACTACAGCTAGAGCCATGCCATGACTGGGTTGTCAGTTTTGCTCTATGAGAAGATAATTTCTTTCCAGAGCTGTTCAGACTCCAGAAAATAAGTTGTTCTTATTTTATAGTCTGCACCCTAGGGAAAAGGTTTTTGCTCCTTATTTCTTACTAGCTAATTGCCTATCAAGAATGATGGGGGGGGAGGGGAGGGAAGGGGAGGGGGCTGGGATGGAGTGCAGCCACCTAACGCCCCATGCTGCCACTGTTCTGCCCCTTGCAGGGAGTGGGGTGGGGGAGCCAAGGCCAGCTGGCCTCGGCTCCTCCACCCTCTGTCAGGTCCTCGGCGCGGCTTCGGAAGCATGGCAGCACTCCCCCACGCTTGGAGCACTCTGGCTGTTTCTGTCAGCCAATCAGAGTGTGAATAAAGCGTTACAGACAGACTGACTTAGGCTTTTATAATATTAGAATCCTGAGATCTAACGTAGAGACCAAACTGAAGTTGGTGCTTTTAGTCCTTCACCATTGTGGAGGTGACTTGCTTGTTCCTGTTGAAAAGAGGATGCAAGTTGCCTGTGTGTTTTGCCATGTACCAACCTCAAGTAGAGAGAAGCTGGAGTTATAGTTTTCAAGAGGGGAGGAATGGGTATAAGAGGGGGCTGAAGGGGAGAGCGGAAGTGTGGTGACACTGATCTGCAGCTGTTTTCTGGAAACCCTGGGAAAGTCTAGCCATAAACATTTATATTTGGCACTCTTAGCAAGTTGGCTTGTGTCCTTAAAATGAATTGCTTAACTTTTTTTTCCCATAATAAAGTGACCATGAGGGGTAGACTGAAGTATAAGCAGACTTGTAAATGTTCTTAAAATATCTAAAACTTGTGTTGTGTTGTTGTGTTGTGTTGTTTTTAACAAAACGCTTTTGTTTCGTAACAGGCAACAGTTAACCTATTCCAGCTGCAGCATGCCCAGGTTGTGTCCCTTCCAGTCAACTGTCAGTCCCTCTGCGAGAGTGCCAAGATGTATGACCCAGGACAGCAGTATTTGGAGTTTGTGAAAAATTTGCCAAAGGAAGATATTCCCATTGAGTCGGGTTCCTTTGAAACTCAGAGCTCCCAAGTGGATGGGTAAGAACTAATATATTAATACCATTTGTTTATCTGGAATTAAATCTAAGGAAAAATGTTACAGAAGAAAACACAGCAGTGAAATAGAACTTTTGCAAGAGTAAAAAGGAATTTGGCATTTCACCATGACTGGGATATGATTTATGCATCCCCCTAGCTCTGTATATTCAGTAGCTACATTAAACAAGTACAATATTAATCTTATAACTAAAACCTGACTCTTAATTCCTACCTGAATGTCATATTTAATCTTTTTTGTGTGATAAAGCTAAATAAAGTATAGCTAAACCATTTGATTCAAGTGACTCAACTTACTGCTGTTTATCTATGCCAGGGGTGGGCAAAATGGTGGATCCAGCCAGCAGCCGGAGTCCATTCCCCCGCAGCCTCTGCCTGCATCACTGGCCAGTTTCCAAGGAGACCCCAGGAGCAGCAGTGCTCTGAGAGCACAGGGCCAGGATTTCCATTGAGACTAGCCGCAGCAGCACTGGCACGTGCAGCTGGGTAGGGAGCTGCTCCAGGGCCAGGGCTGGGATCTTGCAATGGTGACAGCAATGGTGACACCAGAGCCAGGGCAGAGCTGTAATCCACTACCTGCACACCTCTGCCCGGCACATGCAGGCAGCAGACCTCAGCTCTGCCGTGGATTCAGACCACACTGTCACTGCAGCAAGATCCCATCCCTGGAGTAGCTCCCCATCCAGCTGCGCACCCTACCAGCACTGCTGGGGCTGGTCTCCATGGAAGCCTTGGCCCTGCACTATCATGGCCCCACCACTTCTGGGGTCTCCGTGGAAACCAGCTGTAGTGACACAGGCAGAGGCTGCTGGGAAATGGACTACCATGGGTCTAATTTGGCCCGTGAGCCAGACTTTGCCTGCTCCTGATTTATACACTGGGTAAAGATGTAAATCCTGAACTCTGTATGTAGAGCATCTGGTGGGTATGTTGGATCGGAGCTCCTTGATTCTAGAAACCTAAAGTTTGGAAGGTAGAAGTGAAGGAAGGCATGAGCGCTTCCAAGACTTACAGTTTGTGTTGCTCTGTCCTGAGTGCATTTTGTCTTAAGTTTTAAGCTTTTGGGGCAGGAAGTATCTCCTGTCTGTCTGCCCAACATGCAGCAGATTGGTGCCCTCTTCTGGTATAACTTCTAGATCAGTGGTTCTCAACCCTAAGCTCAAGGCACCCCTCAGTTGACTCAATTTTTGTGAATTGAGCAGCACTCCACTTTAATTTATTACAGTGCTGACCTCTTTGCAGAACGGCCAAGTGGTGGGATAGAGTAGCAGCCGGGCAGGAATGAGCTTGAGCCTGCACTTGCTTCCTCCAGCCTGGTCCATCTCCTCACACCTTGTGGAACTCTTCAAAATGTCTCATGGCACCTTCGTTGAGAGTCACTGCTCAAGATGCTATTAGAATACAAATTGTTAAAATGGCATGGCAGGTTTTGTTAAACAAAACCTGATATAAATGCATCACTCATCCCAAGTGAGTACCAGTCTGTGTGCCATGAGAGCTTTTATTGCTTGCTTGTTTTTTGGGGGAGATATGTAAATTAGGGCTGTGTAAAATTTTGCCAGATGTCATTTCGAAGCTGTTTCAATGTGTTTCAAGCTCAAAACAATGAAATCTAAATGAAACAAAAGGCTTCAAAACAGCTTCAAAACAAAATGAGGGCACTCAAAATGTTTTGAAAATTTCAAAACGTTTCACGTTTCGAAGCCAGGCTTGCTTGCCTTTAGTGCCGGTCCCAGCCAATAGTGGCAGCCTCCTGTCATCCTGCATGCAGATCCAGGGGCCTGCACCCCCTGGGAGGAGTCTGGCACAGTCCTGCAGCCCTTCTGGGGGGCTCAGGCCCCCAGATCTGTGCGTGGAATGACAGCATGCTGCTGCTGCTGCTGCCTGGGGCCAGTGGCAGCAGCAGTCTTCCCGGTGCTGGGTACGGGGTGCACCCAGTGCCTCTCCCAGGTGGCAGCGGCAGCCTTCTGTCATCCCGCATGCAGATCTGGACACCTGCACCCCCAGGAGGAGTCTGACACGACCCCACAGCCCTCCCAGGGGTGCAGGCTGCCAGATCTGCAGGCAGGATGACAGGAGGCTGCTGCTACTGGCAAGTGATATGAGTTTTCCTTTCAACTGTTTGAGGTGCAGCTTCCCAGAAATGAGGTCGAAACGAAATGGTGCTGTTTTACACAGCCCTATTAAATGTAATGGTGGAGAGGCTATAAACAAGTATTTCAACTTGTTGCATACATATGCTAAGTGATTTTCCACATTTAATTCACTATAAAAGTCTTTTTGGCACTTAAGCTGAAGTGCCAAAATACCCATTCCTATCTGTGTGTTTCACAGTTCTACAGGAAGGCTGTCGTCATATTGTTTCAAAAGGAAATTAAGTACAAAAACTGAATGCTTGAGTCGGACGTGCACCAACAAAAGCCAGGAAATTCAAAGTTAAGGCAAAGATTCTTAGTTCTTGTCTTTAAATTTCCTGCCTTTCATGAGTCTGATTCAGTACATACGCCTGAATTTTTCAGAGTTGTCAGAGGTTTCGGTTATGTCACTCCAACAAAAAAAAGTGTGCGTGGAAGTCTAAAATCCCTATGTATATTTACCCGCAGTATTTAAAATTGGCTTGTTTCAGAACTAATTCTTTTTCCCAGCTTATTCATCTTCTCATAGCGCCTAGCAGTCTCTCATATACTCTTAAGTGATTACTTTAATTATTGTCTAGATCTGTATATTCCTAAAAGGCAAATCCCTTGCAAAAATGTAAATTTAAATGTTTTGAAGCCCTCATCGCAGCTTCCATCAAATGGGTGGAGACAAGCTGATTAAGTGCAGTCTCCCCTACTGTTAAACTTGGCTAGCAAGCAGTTTAATCCACAGGGTGCTTCAGCATTTTGGGCTAATTAGACTGTTAACTTCATTCTTTCATTACATCTTAAGAGCAGAATTTAACAGCCAAGTACTAGGAAATTTCTGTAAAATTGCGAAGCCATGCTTAGTACTCCTAAAAAATAATATTAAATATTCTAGGGAATAAGTCTAAGTAAACATTTAGACCCTTACTTAAAATCTGTGTCCTTTAAAGATCAGTAATTTTTAGGCCAATGGCATAAAGAGTTCACATTCAGCTTAGAGTACTTTTAAGTAGCAAATAGTTGGGCAGTTGGGAAGAGATGGTATTTGGAAGAGAGAACAGGACGGGAAATCAGAACCGCTGAGTTTTAATCCTAGCTCTACAACTGAGTCCCTGTAGGTAAGACTTATATTTGTCCTGTTGCTGTAGTTTCATAAGGATAAAGTAGGGGGTATAATATACTGATTTTTTAAATAAAGATGTTGAATGGGCCTGTACTATATGAAACATACTACTGCTATGTTAGTAGGAGAATTTACTCCCTATGACCATTTAACAGGTGGAATTCCACCAATATAACAGAAAGCAAAATTTGGCTGTGTAAATATTTTCCACAGTGTATACTGTGAGCTTAATTATGAACTACTGATGAGAACAGTAGAATACTGAGCAATTAGTGCTTTGAAAAATAAAATATATTAGGACTTTAATTGAATGCTAATTTAGTTGCTTCCCAATAAAATGGCTTTTCTTTTTTAAGTGTTTTTAGTAAACAAGCAACAAACAGTGCCCATGCATCACATGGAAACTTATCTCAGTGTTCGGGTGACTACCCTACCCAGTCGTTAGAGGATGTTGGAAGCCCAACTTACTGTCGTTCTCATAAGATTGGAGAGAAGAGATCTGCCAGCAGCACAGATATACAAGGTAATTCTTTCACGTTTCTACAAGCTTTCATTTCTAAATAGAAAGGTCAGCTTTAGTAGGTGACTGGTCCAGCTCTTTGGTACAGTGGTATGAATCATGTGATAGGTCATAACTCAGGCCCAAAATGTAACATTTGTTTTTAAAAAATGTAAAAAGTTTTGTGGCTTTATAAATATTTCATACATACTAATGCCCAAGATTGGATGCAAAACCATTCAAGCAAGCAAGCAAGATTTCATAGATTTCACAGACATTTGGGCTGGAAGGGACCCCGGAGGATCATTGAGTCCAGCCCGCTGCCCCAGGGGCAGGAAGTCAGCAGGGATCACAGGATCCCAGCAAGGTAAGGATCCAAATGTGTCTTGAAGGCATTCAAAGTGGGTGCTTGAACCGCCTCCGGCAGCAGTCTATTCCAAACCCTTGGGGCTCGGACAGTGACAAAGTTCTTTCTTATGTCCAGCTTGACTTGATCGTGGTGGAGTTTGTGACTGTTCAGTCTTGTCATCCCTTGGGGCACTCTGGTGAACAGATGTTCCCCCAGATCCTGGTGAGCACCCCGATAAACTTATAGGTGGCCATCAGATCACCCCTGAGCCTGCGCTTTTCCAGGCAGAAGAGCCCCATGGCTCTCAGCCTCTTGTCATAAGGTCTGTTTTTCTGACCTCTGATCATGCACATGGCTCTCCTGCACCCTCTCAAGCTTCTCCACATCCTTTTTGAATTGTGGAGCCCAAAACTGGACACAGTACTCCAGCTGCAGCCTCACGAAGGCCAAGTACAAAGGGAGAATGACGTCCCGAGATTTGCTTGAGAAGCATCTGTGGATGCAAGCCAGCATTTTGCTCGCTTTACTAGCCGCAGCATCACATCGAAGACTCATGTTCATCTTGTGGTCAGTCATGACCCCCAAGTCCCTTTCATCTGTAGTGCTCACCAGCATAGCACTGCCGAGCCTATAAATATGCTGGTTTTTCCTCCCAAGGTGGAGAACCTTGCATTTTTCAGTGTTGAACATCATCAGGTTCTCATCCGCCCATTTGCTGAGCCTGTCAAGATCTGCCTGGATCACCCTCCTGTCCTCAGGTGTGGATGCTTTACCCCAGAGTTTGGTGTCATTGGCAAACTTGGCCAGTCCACTTCTGACACCAATATCTACATCACTGATGAAGATGTTAAATAGTATAGGCCCTAGGACAGAACCTTGAGGGACCCCACTGGTGACCGTGCACCAAGGATAGGCTTCTGTCAACCACCACCCTCTGGGCCCTACTGCAGAGCCAATTCCCCAGCCAGTGAGGTCGAGGCCGCAGTTAGTGAGTTTAGCCAAGAGGTGATCATGGGATACCAGATCGAAGGCTTTTTTGAAGTCAAGATATACAACATCAATCTCTTCTTTGCCAAGTATTAGATGCAAATCAAACAGCAACTTCTGACCATGAATTTATTTATTAACCTTCTTCTCATCCCCACTCCCTCCACAAGAAAAAATTGTATAAAAATACTGGCAGTTTTTAAGAGGCTTTATTTGTCTCTTAAAGAGAATGCAATTTTGGTTTCAGCTGCTAATAATACCTAATAAATGTTAAGTTTCTGGAACTTCCTTACACATACTGTCAGAGATGACCTGAGCAGGGTGCAGGACCTGGGGCAAATCAGCCTGTGTGGAGGCTCCACCCCTGCGTGCCCCAGATGTGAAGAAGCCAGCAGCGGATTCAATGGCGGTCAGGGCGGTGGTGGGGGGCGCCTAGTGGCCGGATGTAAATCTGTGGCCACTTTGCCTGGCTCCGCAGGGCCCAAGGCGGTCACCCTGATTTGTCCTCCCCTAAGGACAGCCTTGCATACTATAAAACTCTTCTTGAGAATACATGCTACATCTTTTATTTCCATGAGGAATAATGCACGTCTTCTCATTTAACATTATGTATTTTTCCTCTTATAAAAGACAAGCCTGCCTGAATATTCCCTCAGCTGAAAGAATCTTGTGGTGGTAATGGTTTTATTATCTGTGGATTTTTTTTTCCAAGCAATACGAGGACCCCCACCATTCAGATCATGGTCAGTAGGTAACCAAGGTGGAGGAATGTGTAGTGATTCTGAAAGTGCTGGAGGAAGCAGTGAATCGCGTTCTATGGATTCTCCATCTGCTAGCCCAGGTATAGCTATTTTCCAATTATTGTTTGTTTTAAAATAATTTTGTAAGGCCCAATTCAAAGACTGTTGAATCAGTGCAAAAATTGTTATCAACTTAAATGAGTGTTGCTTTGAGCATCTACTGAGAATGAGCCATTGAGTAGACTCTATTTTTCGCCATCTGAAAAAAATATTTCCTCCTCCACAGGGGATTTTAAGAGAAGGCTTCCCCGCACACCCTCTACTGGTACTATGTCTTCGGCAGATGATCTAGATGAAAGAGAACCACCTTCTCCTTCTGAATGTGGTAATATGCTATGATTGTTTCTTAAATTCTAACTAGTTAGTAGGTGGCCTTTTGTTTTTGTAAGTGGTTGTTTTCTTTGATCTGCTTTGAGGAAAACTTAAATTGACTAATTATCAATTACTTCAGATGCAAAGTGAATCTGCAACAGTTGGTATGTTCTCAAGTTCCCTGATTTCAGAGCTAAAAAGAACTGTCTAGGCTATGTAGTTTCTCTGGAGTATAGCAAACTTGTTCCTTTCATTTAGATTAATGCATTATCAGCATTTGAACATGCTTTCTGATGCTTTTTTTAGCTTTGCTTTCAGCTGACATTATCTTGGCATCTAAATTTTTATTCATATCGATGCTATTAACATGCTTCAAAAGCAATAACATCTTTACATGACCTAAGTATTTAAGCTATTCAATTTCTAAACTGCCAAGTGGAAGTCACTTGAGGAGTGAGTTATCTGTAAATCTGAAATGCTACAGTTCCAAATGTTTTAGGAAGTTAGCTAAGACGTTTTCTTATGCATGAAACTTAGATAAGCTAGTTTAGTAACATCTCTGATGCCCCAGGTTTGAAAATGAAAAATGTACTGTTGGATGGATTAGGGAAGTCTTTCTGGCAGTATGACCACTCGATCACATGTTCTGAAACTGGAATTACTGGATAACTAGGAGTATCCCCGAGCAATGTCTGCAGTACTGAAATATTTCCAGAGCTAGTTTTTTAACATACATGTACAGTAAAGCATTTAAGCAGATACTGATGTCCATCAGTGCTCGGTACAAAAAAAACCATAGTTTAGTGGTGAACTTAAGGTTAACATATACTGAAATGTTCCAAATCACAGCTTAAACCAGTATTAAGGCCATTCTAAAACAAAGTCTCTCTTAATTTGTTGTCTAATGTGAAAAAAATGAGACCATACCTCTATTCACAAGATACATTTGAATGCATAAAACAGAGTAAGATTTAATGCTTTTTTTAACACTTGTTAACAAAACTAATATAAATAAAAGGTCTGAGCTACTTGAAATATCACTGGAATTGCCATTTGTAATTTTTTCTAGAATCCTCTAGAAGGTAATATCTTTAGGGTTGTAGGAATAGTAGTTTGATGTTCTCTTGTGAGTGTGTATTTAATTACAGTCAGTTCAAAGTTGGGGCGGGGAGAGATTAGTCAAAGTATTTTTTGATTATTTTAGCCATTGCAAATGAAATTTTGTAAGGCTGGTATCCAGGTGGTCTTAACATAATACTTTGGGCACATACAGTGGAACTTGTCCAGGTGGCTGCCTGAATTGAAGGAGCAATCAAAGTTAGAGGTCCAGACAGCATTATTTACACTTTCAGTTGATTATGGGCACAAAATGTAGTCCCTTCAAGTGTACATCTCTAAGTGTCATAATTATGTTTAGGGTGTATATGGACTGGTTACTTCACTAGCATGTGTATATAACATTTAAGCTATATATGTAGCAGCTACGTCCTGTAAAGTGTGATTACTTGTTGTAGACAACTGTGTACTACAGCAAGTTTATAAGAAAAGCAAACCAGCAAACAGAATTATTATGTATCCTCATACTGTGTGCTGTTTTACCAGATACTTGAATGCTATTATAACAGCAGAATTTTTTTTCAAGGTTTAAATGATTTGACATCTGAAACTGCCAATTCTCCTGGACCTTTTAGAAATACCCTCATGTCCAAGGCAGCTCAAACGCACAAGCTGCGAAAATTGAGGGCTCCATCTAAATGCAGAGAATGTGATAGCTTAGTGGTATTCCATGGAGCAGAATGTGAGGAGGTAAGAGGTTACAGAAGGTAACATATGCAGTCATGTAGATTCTTAACATGACATTTTGATCTAAAATTGTGTTGAAACGTTTTTATTTTACTTCATTTCTTCTTTTGTACCTCACTTATTGTAGTGCTCACTTGCTTGTCACAAGAAATGTTTAGAGACTTTAGCTATTCAGTGCGGGCACAAAAAACTTCATGGAAGACTTCATTTGTTTGGAGTAGAATTTGCTCAAGCTGCTAAAAATGTTCCTGATGGCATCCCTTTCATCATTAAAAAGTGCACCTCTGAAATTGAAAGCAGAGCCCTGAATGTAAAGGTACAGGTTAACTTGATGTTACAAAGCTTAAACATGAACAGTCTTGTCCAAAAACAGTTTATGATGATAATGCTACATTGGCTAATTCCAATCTGTTTTACAATTGCTTTTAGAGCTAAAAGAATTGTATACTGTTTCTTTTTCCATTTCAGGGCATCTACCGTGTGAATGGAGCCAAATCAAGAGTTGAAAAACTCTGCCAAGCATTTGAAAATGGAAAGGACTTAGTAGAACTGTCAGAACTCTATGCACATGACATCAGTAATGTCCTTAAACTATACCTCCGCCAGGTATATGCTATAACCGTTCTGCAATTAGCTGGAAGAACAGAAGTATTATAGCAGCCTTTTCAGTGAGGGAGGAAAATATTCCTTTTCACAAGTCCTGTAATTGTTGCTGGAAAAATACCTTCATTTGAATACAATAATCTACTGTATTGGCAAGAAATTATTTTTATTTGGAGAGCTTGATTCTGTGTTGCTTGACAATAGAAACACTAAGGCTACTGATAGAATCAATGTTCCAGCCTGTTTATCAGTCCCAGCAGTATTCATGTTGCTTTTAGCAGCATAGCTTTCTGTATCCACTTGTTAGTGTGAAGTTTAAGTGTTAATCTGGTTGGATTCATGAGATGGGTAGCGCTCTAGCTTGTAAAGTGGCAGCCAGGTTTTACAGATTGCAGACAAAGTTTGAATTAAATTCCTAAAACTATAGTCAATAAAAAAAAATGATAAAAAACCTAGCATGGTAAGATTTACCACTTTCCGTCTGTGGACACAGGTTTTAAAGCCTTGGGCATTTAAATACCAGGTAGCCCTTTTGAAATTCAATCCTGTCTCCTAATGGGGGTTTAAGCACCTTCTGGCTGTAAGTGATGTAGGAGTACAAGTAACAATTACTTCTAAAATGAGTTGTGCTCATTTAGTGACTTCAGAACTTTTGTAGATAACGCATTAGCTTTTAACTGCTACTTCAACAGGAAGTAAAAATCTGTAATTCTGTATGCATCAAATTCTGGGGTTTAAGGGCAATATGCTGAATTTTAACTAACAAACTCCAAAGAGACAAATGAAGCCAAGCAGTTACCTGCTGGTTTATCACTTCAGTACAAGCTTGGTTAGGATCGGTTGTAAATAATGATGATTCTTATATGATAAAAATAGTACTGGAACCCTGTAGATAAGATGCTTTCCAGCTTTAGGAAAACATTTTTACAATGAAATATGTTCATTTGAACAGAATAGTTAAATTTCAGTACAATTAAGCTGTAAAACTTTATTGGCTGTGGATTTCTGGAGGATTATTACATGCCTGAGGTGTGAGGCAGAATGACTTTAGCCACCCAAGTAGTACAATAATCCCTAAGAAATTGTGTTTTGGGAGGCCACTTAGAACAGTGGGTTAACATTTCCAGCCTTTCATCTCCAAAGAATTTACTTCAGATCCAGTTGGGGTCACCAATAAAACTAGCCTGCCCTCTCAGTTTGGTCCTTGGTAAATATATATCCACACTAATAAGCTGCCACATCATTGCAGTGTCTACTTGAGGGAGCCAGGGATGTCAAAGGTGAGTTTTTAAGGCAGTGATAGAATTGTTATAGGAAGCCTGTCCAAATATTAATGTTAAACTCTTAAAGGTATTCATGGTATTTGAGACTTCCTGTTGGTTAGACCGGTTTTAAGAGTTCAAAAAAAGTTCTCTAAAGTTGCTTAAAGAGCTGTTGAATTACTATTTTTAACGCTGATTAATTTGTGTAAGATTGAGCTGGTTGTTCTGTTTTTACATTTTATCTGCATTTGGAAAATGAAAATAGCTAGATCAATTTCACTTTATTTATTTTAACTGTTGCCCCTATGAGACCAATATTCTCATGAACTAGCATAATGGTAATTTCACACTCGAAGAGAATGTTTTAATTGGAAAATTCTTCATTAGATTTGTAATAATAAATCACACAGAAACAATAGAATTGTTAACAGGGTTTTCAGCCATGAATAATTATTTTTTGATAAATAATATTTGAACAAATTTAGCAGTTCGTATGCTATATTATCAGGCTTCTATTATAATGTGGTTAGTGTGTGATATTTTTATGTCTAGGCCTCTTTTATGTAATCAGCTTTTCCAGCTAAAGGAAAGGCACTAGACTAGACAGCATTTGGTGATAGACAGGAAGGAAACAAACAACGTAAAATGCAGACTTGAATATGTTTCTAAATGTTTCTATTCCCTCAGCTCCCAGAACCTTTGATTTTGTTTCGGCTTTACAATGAATTCATCGGACTTGCTAAAGAAAGTCAGAATGTTAATGAGGAAGTGGACACAAAACAGGCTAGTCCCACATCAAAGAAAAGGCAATCAGTCTGTATTGAAATGAACAGGATCATCATTAAAATGAAAGATCTCCTCAAACAGCTACCTGTACCAAATTATAACACACTTCAGTACCTTACAGCTCATCTTCATAGGTAAGAAAAGCCCTTTAAGGTTACCTGCAGATGTTTTGCAAAGTAAACTGTTATATGCTGCATGCTAGGAAAATTTCTTTCAGATGGTTTGGCCCCCACTTTTAGATGTCCATCCAGAAAAACTACAGGATCTCTTTGTGTTTCTGTATCTCCATACATTTTCAAAAATAAGTTTGTGATTTCTGTAATGGTGAATTATTGCTCTGCCCCAAACTAGGGATGTAAATATTTAAAAATATATTTAACCTCCTCTGCTTAAAATGGTTAAACGATTAACTGATAACACAGCAGCTCAGACACTGCTGCTGCTGGGAGTCACTCTCCCAGAGCCAGGGATGGAAGGAGGAGGCAAGCTGAGACAGGCAAAACGCAACACAGCCCAGGTGGACCCTGCGCTGGGAGGGAGGGACCACCTGTGAACAAGCAGCTAATTGTTTAATCAGTGAGTCCTTAGGTTGCTTGCTGTTTTCCTTTTAGGCCATGGGTACTAGTCCCCCTTGCCCCTCTCCCTCGCTCCTCCCTCCCTCCTTCCTGCCTGCCCTGCTGCCTTCTGATTCCTGTTGGGGCACTGCATGACTTCCCTTTTCCTCCTTTCCTGCTAATCTGTGCCCAACCAAGCTAAAGGATAACCAGTAGGCTAACTGGTTATCATTGCATGTATCGGTTAAACAATTAATCGTTTAATCTTTCACATAGCTATTCCAAACATACATTTTCTAGAGAAGTTGCTTGAAAATGAGAGCTAGCCATCTACTCTGTCTGCTTAAAACTGCTTCTGAATAATAGCTGTATGCGGTACTCCATCTTAGAGAGAGTGTATCTAAGTAACCATATGTAATTTCCCGTGAAGACATTCTAGCAAAATAGCATGTTCAAGCAGGAAAAAAATCAGATCTGCCACTTTGGTGATCTTTTCTGATGGTCTTCTAGAAAGGTGCAGGTGTGCATTTAGATGCTTCAGTCAAGAACTTTATCTAGGCACTACAGGGACGGGTGAATAACTTGGCATTTAAATTGCACCTTGCCTGCATGTCATTTTTTTTCTGAGATGAGTTTTATAGTTATTCCAGCCATGTTACCAGACAGCAGCTTGCTTTGTCTTACCCTAATATGCTAAAAGCTGTTCCCCAGCAATAACAATGGTTAAGAGCATTCGAACACAGCTTTCATTCTGCTTGCTTCATTTTTTGATTCCTGAAGCTGTGGCCACCCTGCTCCTGCTGTACTGCTTGCCACAGTGCTGGTAAGGTCATAGTTGCCAGAGGACTTCTCCCAAACATGGAGCTGAATTATTTTTAAGAAGGTGGAGATAAAGAAAAAATCAAGTGATGATGCAGAGCTATAAAATGATCAAAATGTTTTTTTAATAAATAAGAGCCAGAATTTTCCATGGTCACTTAGCATCTTGTAAGCTAATAGCTCCAACATTTTGGGCAGATAGACTACTGTCAACCTTTAGTTGTTCCTGGACCAGTGTCCACCCTGATAAATATTTTAATTAGTTTAGTGAGAAAAAATGTTGTGATCTGTGGACCTGCTGTCATGGCCTTGCAGACAGTGGTTTAGGAATGTAAACCTTAAAGCAGCCAGAAGTGATCTGTAGAGAATTTTCTCTCTTCAGGAAAGTCTCTTGGCTTATATGTAGCTGGTGCAAGTGGCCCTATTGCCTCTTCCCACCCCTAACACTGCATTGTTGTGGCCTAATTTCCAAAACTGCTGATGAGTCGCAAGTACTAGTGAAGTAAACAGGAGTTGAGGGTACTCATGAAAGTCAGGTCAAAAACATAGCTGGTAGTCTTCTTCCAGGTTCTGATGCCTGAAAGCCTGGGCCTTTTTAAAAAAAGAAAAAAAGATTAATTGCAAATTGTGAATTGTAAATGTGAACTTCAAATTGATTAATAAATTCCTGTTTCTTAAATAGGAATGTACAGTACAGCATAGCCATCATGACTGTGATCCGTTATAGCTGAAGAATGAACTGCAAAGCTAGCTAAAATAAATATTCTAAAAGGCATAATAGTATCTGCTGGCTCTCTCTGCTAACTAGGATATGGAGGCTGTTCAGCTCAAGTTGATTGTGATGTACTTTTTGTAAAGTAAATTAAAAGCCATACTGTTGGAGGGAGGGGGAACTCGGCACATGCATGGGCTTAAGTTTGTTGGCTGTGTAACTTTTTGAAGCGAAGTTGTTTTAAAATTATTTCATGGAAATTAATTAGTATTAACATGGAAGGAAAGAAAACTACAAAGCCTCTGTAACTTTGTATATTGTCTCACACAGGGTTACTGAACAATCAGATGAAAACAAAATGTCTGCCAGCAATCTTGGCATAATATTTGGGCCAACTCTGATCAGGCCCCGTCAGACAGATGCCACCATTTCTCTTTCATCACTTGTGGACTATCCATATCAAGCCCGGGTAGTAGAGTTGCTCATCACATACTATGAAAAGATCTTTGATGTTTTGCTGCAACCACTTTCTACTGTGTCTCAGCCAGAAGAAAGTGCTGCTTCAGTAGAAAATGCTTTACCAATGGAAGAGAGGGAACTGCAGCAGCAGAGCAAATCATTTATTGCTGTAAAGGAAGTAAGTGACTGCCATGGAGCTGGATTGATATGATGTTTACTGATACAGAATTAACTCATATTTTGGGACATTGTATTGTTTACAGACATAGCTATGAAATCTCTGAACTGCTTGTTTAGAAGTATATATTTTTCCTCTTGAACACTCCTTTACTTCTGATCTGATTTCTATTGACAGGGCATACTGCTAGCCCCAAGTGAGAGTAAGAGTTCAGAAACACTTGCATTACTCTTGGAACAGGACAGCAGCAAGAACATTAGAGAGAGATCGGATGCATCTCGCACTGGTTAGTAATTCTTTATGCATCTCAGGACAATATATTGTCCTATGGGTTAACACCAGTCCTTAAATACATTTGAGTGAAGGTCAACCTTTACTGTTTTGTGAAGGTTAAAGTGCAAGCAAAAAAAGTCTGTTTAAAAAGAGCCCCAAATCTGACTTGCTCTTAGTTTTGTTGGAAGCAGCAAGAAAATAAACCCTTTAAGAAACCTGTAATCATGGAACCGAACTTTGTATACCTGCAGGGGAAATGCACCAAATAATATTGAAGTTACAACTTAGGCTGTACTTTTAATAAGAGGCTGTTGTGCTGTCTTTGGTTTGTTATCTGTGACTCCAGCAAAAATATTGGGACCCAGCAGCTAAGATATGTTTCTGTTTTTTTCTAGAACGGATGCATCTCCCACTCACTGGAGCTAAGCATGAGGGGTTTGGGAATTGGAGTGCTCCACTGGAATCCCCAACTGCCGCTATTCTAGATATTCATATTGGTGCTCCCAAAGAGTCAGGTGTGTGCTGCCTTTAATTACACAGTACTTCCCAAAGGACGTTTTCTACTAGTTTGCTTATGCTGTGTTGTTTTTGTGCAAATACAACAGTTCCTTTGTATAAAGGTGGAATATCAACTCTTAAATTAGTGTTACACACAGCTCTCTTTTATTACCTAATAAACACTTAGGATAGATGGGGAAAACTCTTCTAGCCAAAAAGTATATTTGCAGCTGTTGCCCAGAGAAGCTAAATGTTTCCTTGGTTGTGCCCCTTTCAGTATCTGGCTGCATTTAGACTAGATTTCCTGCAGGCACATATCCTCAAGTGAAGAGTCTAATACATCCCAGCCTGACTGTGTATAGTGATCATACTCTTAGGATAGCAAAATTAAACTGAACCTGCTCAGTAATGGATTGGGCAGGACTTTTCCAGTGGTCATAATCTCTATCATACAGGAGATATTAAACAACTCTGATTTCAAGCTCCAGTAGTGCAGTTCAGGAAGGGATGAAGACAAGTGCAAGGTATGTCTACACTGAAGAAGTATCTTTAGTCCCCAACGCAAGCTGGATGACTGAAGTCTGAGCCTGAAGTAGCCATCACTTTTGTTTAAAATCTCCTTGTGTATATAAACCCCACTTTTAGCCTCTTGCAAGGAGAGGCTGTTCCAAGACTTCAGCAAGGAGTTCCAAGGCTGTTCCAAGGACTTCAGTAAGGCCTTTGACACCGTCTCCCACCCCATCCTCGTTAAGAAATTGGGTGACTGTGGCATTGATGCCTACACAGTCAGATGGATTGC